TTCCTGGTACGCATCTGTTAGAGACGGTCAGCCACACGTTATCTCCTATACTCCTCCTTTGTGGAGGAGATGCGGAGAGTTTTCAATCGCCCGGTGCCGGGTAGGGAGGTGCCTAGACGGCTTCTCTCGATCACAGCATAGCTGAACAACTCGGGTCTCCGGTACGCGTTCCCAGGCGGGCTCTGCGATCGCATTAAAGCTCTGCTGGCCACTAGGGACGAGCTGGCGGGTCTCGACGTCCTGGTCGAAGCTGCCATCGCCCACGGTTCCTCCTCCTCCCGCTCTAGCCTCACACCATCTCAGGCCTCTGTTTTGCCGTCCTCCCTGCAACACTCGACTACGCCATCAGCACCGCCGATGCCACCTTCGCCTCCCTCCGTACCACCTCCGGAGCCCATGCAGACTGTTTGTACTATGGCAAACCCAGCCATTTCTTGTCTGTCTGTCGTGTGCGGCCCAAAAGACTTGGCTCGTCACTAGGTTTGGGGCTACTGGCGAGCCAAACTCCTCCGCCCAACCCTTGTACCCTGCTTGACGCCACCGTTACATGGAACAATGTAGTTCTCCACCTCGGGGCCCTAGTTGATTTGGGTGCAGTTGAAAATTTTATGGATGTTGAGGTCGCACGTCAGCTCACGGTTCCCCAGGTTCCCCTTGACTCTCCCCTGCACGCCACTGGTCTCAACGGACAACCCCTCACTACCGTCACCCATCCCACCCCACCGCTTCTTCTCGTCACCTCCGGCAACCACCATGAGTCCCTCTCTTTCCACCTGATCTCCTCCCTTGGCTAGTCGCTCACAACCTCAACATCGATTGGTCGCGGGGGAAGATCAGGAATTGGAGCACTGCCTGTCACGCGTCCTGCCTTTTGTCCGCTCAAGCCCCCGGTAATCCTGCTCAGCCTGTCCCGCCATCCGTCCCCGTCGACCTGTCCGGTGTCCCCAGCGAGTACCACGGCCTTGCTCTCGTCTATAGTAAGGACCAAGACCTGTCTCTACCTCCCCACTGCCCCTACGACCGCGCTATAGATCTCCTCCCGTACACGCCCCTCCCGTCCAGCCACCTGTACAACCTATGGTACAGGCTTTTCGTCAAAGCGGAGAAGTGTGAGTTTCATGTCCCCACTGTCAGTTTCTCGGCTACATCATCGAAAGAGGGCAGCTCCGAGAGGAATTACAGCGTGGGTGACCGGGAGCTTCTGGCCATCAAGCTGGCTCTGGAGGAGTGGAGGCACTTGCTGGAGGGAGCAGAACACCCCTTCTTAGTTTGGACAGACCACAAGAACCTCCCCTACATACAAACTGCCAAGAGACTGAACTCCCCCTGGTCCCATATCGCCCTGGACTTTGTCACTGGTCTCCCCTGCTCAGACAGAAACACAGTCAAACCCCAGCTCCCACCTACCGGCCTGGACAGGAGGTTTGGCTCTCCTCCAGGGACCTCCCTCTGCAGACCTCCTCCAAGAAACTTGCCCCCCGGTATTTTCCTCCTTTTCTCTGACCATTCTGTTCTCCTCTGTGTGTTGCTGGCCTCTCCCTCTCTCTCTCCTCTCCTGAGCCCAGCTGACAGTCCGCACCTGCACCTCATCAGCCGTCTCCTCTGCCTGCCACACCTGCCAGCAATCAACTCCATCTCTGCCAGTATATCAACCCCGGTTCTCCACACAATCTCCGCTTTATCGTTGTCGCTCCTGACCTGGTGCCACTGCATTACTCAAGCTCCTTTGAATCCTGCTAAATCTCTGTTTCCCTGTGATTAACCCTGTCTCTCTGTCTGCCTTTCCCCAGGTTCACTCACCTCCGTCTACCGTCGTGTCAGCTGGGCTCGCCTACCTGCCCTCTCCCCTTGGGCTTTCTCCACGGCGTTCCCCCGGCTCTCCTCGCTCCTCGCCAATCTGCCTGCCACCACTCTCCCCCACCGTTCTCTCCGGTCAGTTTTCCTGTGCCTCCTCTCCTCCTCGGTCCCTGGTTCCCCTCGGCTCCGTCGCCTCAACCTCCTCTGCCCCACCTGCTCCTCGGTCCTCTGTGCCTGCTTCTACCTCTCCTTCATCACCACTCCCTCAGCCCCTTCTTTCCCTAATAAAACCTGTTAAAGTCTGAGCATTGCGTTTGGGTCCGTTCTGTCCAGTTCATAACAACTTGTGTGTTATAAAATTACAGAGCAGAGTAGTGTAAAGCAGAGAACATGCACTCAATTTGGCACACCTGGTAAATGATTTGGTTGATTCAGAAATGATTTAGGCATACAGAAAAAACTGTAACATCATTGCACAGCAGCCACACTGACAAGGCTGCCTGCAGATGTGTCCATAGACATTTCTTGTATATCGACTTTGTCAGTGCAGGTTTTCTCAAAATGCCATGATATCTGCCCAATTATTGTCTTGTCTAGGTCTACCAGCCATTTGCCCATGATTTAGTGACCTCCCGTGCTTCTATATGATATCCAGCTACATACTCCTTCCAGCCAGGCTTGTTTTTATGGTTCTTATTTTTATGTTTATAGTAGGGCTTACAGCCTTCATACAAATCATGTACTATGTGAGCATATATGGAGCAGATATCTCTCCCATGCTCCTCATCCTCATAGTTAATATCCCTATACAGGATTGCATCTAGAGGTAGTTGGATATTACCTAGTGACATGTCTGTGCATAATAGGCCAAAATGTATTCCTTTTTGATTGTTGACCAGCATAATATTTCTGTGTTGACATGGTTTTCTCATCTGGATAGCACAGTTATGTATTCAGCATTTATCAACATAGCAACAAGTATATGATCACTCATTGTTACCCCATGTAAAATGCTCATACACCCCAGTGAGGCATGTGCATCAGCTGTACTGATACAGTGGTCCAGCCATAGTGTACCAAGCCTCACTAATGTAAGCCTCACTAATGTAAGTATAACTGACTGCGGGCAACAATACTCTGCTTGACAATATAAGATTATCTTCACAGAACTGAATTATATGTTTGGCAAATAGTGACTTCTCATATGAGATATCTGCATTCATATCTCCAATGACATAGACCAAAGAGGTATATGAAGGCAAGCCTATTTAAATATTCATCCTCATTCTGACAGCATTCATATGGTGTATACACATTTAAGATTTAAAAAAAAACCCTCCTTGTTATTGCAGACAAAATCCAGGGCTATACACCAATCTGCATCAAGCCTAACCACATTTATTGAGTCTAACTTTTTTTTTCATAGGATAGCCACGCCCCCTGATATTCTACCCTTGACTATTCCCATGCTAAGGTCAATTCCCCAGACCCATGAAATCATCACTGAGAGAATTTAAACATTCCAAGTTTTGCTTTGCTAAAAATGTCTCTTGCATACAGAGTATATCACAGTTCTCCAGAAAGTAGTCAACAACTAGGCGGCAAGCTTTATCTCCTGCGTTCTGCCCCAAACATATTCCAACAACAGCTGTACGACACAATCCAAATGCCAGCTAGTCCTGAGATTAAGAAATCCTGCAACATGTCACATAAACCTTTCTCAAACCAGCACTGCTTTACAAACACGAATTAGAGCAAAAAATACTTAATTGGAATATTGGGAAGAAGAGACAAAAAACCAACACACAGATTGTATCTACTATGTAACAAGCAGTGAATATTAATAATATCACAATAAAATTATATGCATTAAGAGACAAGGCAATACAGAATATATAATTACCAATTAGATCGGGACAAATAAAAAACAAGTACAGAAAAGTAAAAAATAAACAACAAAAATAAAAGGAATAGAAAGTGTATTAAATAACAAAAAAAAAATTTCAGAGAGTACCTACTAATTTCTTGCCCAAAATAGAAAAAATGAATAAACTTTTTAATTGTTAGCTGCAAAGAGACCTCTCCATACAAGGTTGAGTACTGTTGTCAAAGGCAGAAGGTATTTCAAGATTTTAATAACCTGCCATTTCACTGTATGTTGACCCAAAGACATGTAAAGCCATTGACTTGCTTTTATTTAACTTCATATGGAAAAACAAAACTGAGTATGTTAAAAGGAAAACATGTATTAGAAGGGTGTGATATTTATTCTAGTCGTACTTAATGATAGAGGCAAATTTTTTGAATATGAGGATTTTGTCGTAATAAGGGTTTGAATACTTCTCGAAAAGAATATCATAATGTTTTAGCATATCTCCAAAGTTACTATTCTTACTTAAAAGTGCATTGTTGTATGGTCCTTTGAAGGGAGACTTCCCCAAGCTCACACTTGGTGGGAAAGATATTTTTAATCGTACGTGTAATAATCGCCATATCAGAGGAGTACTGATCTCTGGTTTTAGTGACTTTCCCAAATCGATTCTCTTATGGAAATTAAATTTCCCGGAACTCTTGGCGAAGGATATCTGGTCAGATTCAAATAAAATAAAAGAAGTCCATATGAAAATTTTACATAGATACTATCCCTGTAATAAATTGTTAAACAAATTTAAAACGGATTTTTCTCCTTTATGTTCTTTCTGTAAACTAGAAGTTGAATCTATTAGTAATCTTTACTTTAATTGTACTTATTCTCAAGAATTCTGGAAAGAAGTAGCTTTGTTGATTTTTCGGCGCTTTAACACCTTAATACCATAGCTTAATAGCTTAATACCCATATTAGAAGACATGGTCTTGTTTCTAAATTGTAAAACTGACTCACAACCCATTGATAACTCTGTAAAACTATTATGTCTTGTTGGTAAAGGCTAGAACACTTCAAAACACTCCTTCTTTCTATCTGTTCTGTATTGAATTACAATATCTCTTTTACTCAGTCTCTAAATTATCATCAAACAAAAAAGCTATTAAAACCTCTTTAATAATTAGCAAATTACTTAATAAAAATATATTAATATATAGGCTCTATATTACTTTATATCTCCCTCGTTCACAAAGATTCATTAATACAACAGACTGTGGTAAATACGTAAATACGCATGTGACGTCAGCTCAACATGACGTAGAGGAGAACGACGTTTCCGTAGCAACTGGGGCCGGTCCGTTAACTGCAGCGGCCGTTGTACTACCGGAGCTCATCGAGGAGTTGAAGGGGAATTGTCGTCGGTGACCGGATACCACCTCTGTCTTGCGGGGCGTAGAGACACGGGGGCGGCGTAGTATCGAGGCGGCGAGCCCGCAGTTGCGTGCGGAGATGCTGAACATGTGGAAAGTCAGAGAGCTGGTGGACAAAGCGTGAGTACCGGGAGGCGCAGGTGGATCTGTTTGCGCGACCTAAACCGCTAAGTGGCTTCTAAGCTATCCGGCTAGCAAGGCGGCTTAGCCGGGCAGCATCAGCAGCCTTTATCGCTGACATGGGAGAGGATACAGGCCGTGACGTCACGGTGATAGCCCCCTCAGCTGTTAGCTCCGACTAGCTGGCTAGTTGCCAGTCTCATCCCTGTGGCATAAATAGAGATGCGTATTTTACAATGGTATCTCCCACTGTTCCATTTCCTCACTGGTTTGTAAAAGCCAGGGAGAAAAAAACAATATTACAAAATGCTAATTCATTTATTTTCGATCCAGAACCAAAGCTATCCAGTTAGCTAATTCCGCTAGCATCGCTAAGCCCACTGTTTGTGAAAGTGCTGCTGCAGAATCACGCCCTGTCCCACAATGGTGATGCCCGCTTACTCCACTAACGTTCACTTAACATTATTTCAAGACTAGAAATGTTGAACTAGTATGGTGGCAAGCTAGGTGTCGAGAGATAATTGTGTATGGATGAGTAAACGTCCTGCCAATTCCCAATGTGTCCAGCGAGGCCATGGTCCCCGGCGGACAACAGAGCTTGTTAGCCAAACAGATCATACTGTTGTAACGTTAGCTAATGCAGGTATTGCAGCATCGTGTTGTTTGTCTGAACACTGGACTACACGTGCAACTTTGTGGTGTGTGTCTTTCTGATATCTGTTGTTGTATATATGTATATATTAATTTTATTGTAACCAAGGAGGTGGAAGAACAAGTCCAAGAGGCTGTATATGAATGACTTTGCTGAGTAAAAAATAATACTCTTTGTAGTGCTCTCTATAGGGACCAAAAAAATTATTTTTGAAATACTGGTCTGTCAGTGGTGCATCTGCTGTCACAGGTCAACCTTTTAAATACTCCTCTTAAACACTGAAACTGATCTCTGACAGTCAGTTTCATGTGGGAATGGCTTTCATTTTTAATACCACAGCCTTGAATCTGCAATAACATTTTTTATATATACATATATATATATATATTATATATTACCAGTAAGAATCTTTTTTCTGTCTCAAATAACACCTAAACTGATAATAACTAGTTTATATGGCATGCTTTGTTTTTTTTTCCCTGATATATAATCCAGTGCTTTGTGCAGTATTTGACTGATAGTGAGTGTAGTGTTACAGATCAGTGCATCGCTTTTGTTTAATGCGATTATCCTAACACCAGAGAAAAGTGTGTTTAGCTTAACAGCACATGAGTTGCTAAAGTGCCTCCACTGACTGCAGAAGAATGGGTTTTTTTTGTTGTAGTAACAACACTGCTCTCTGTTTCTATCACCCTTTTCCTTTAGTTGCACTAACTAACTTTGGTGGTTTGTAGTCATTTTGAGACTTAGTTTGTAAAGTTTACAGTGTGCCATGCTGTTGCTCCTATGCCCTATGAATGCCACCCACAGCCAGAGTGGCTAGTAAGCGTGACTGTGTTACACGCAACTGGCTATTCTACCCTTATTTGGTGGGTGGGTGCTAATGTCAAGCCCAGCTTTCAAACTATCTTGATCTTTTATTGCGTTTTTGTACATGGGGCAGGTAATTCAAAGTTGAAGGTTTCAGCAGTTAATGTGCTCTTGCATTTTGCCAAACAACCGTTAAATGTTTATTTTTATTTCTTTATTTTTAGGGAGGCTGAAGAAATCTTACATACGTTTTGCCCTGGATACCTTTTTAAATATCGATCATGGTGATAATGTATGGCCAACAAGTCTTCCAAGAGTGTTTGTTTAGTTTTTCCCATGTTACATCTTTATTTTCCACGTTTACAGTTAAATCCTATAAACAAATATTTAATATTTCACTTTCACTGTCTGCTGACAGTTTGCGACACTGTGTTCTCTGTTTGGCTCCGTCCTTTAAAGGACCAATTATATCAAAAATGCGAAAAGGGGAAAGTAGATTGAAGAAACAGAAAGAAGAGAGAAGATATCTAAGAAAGGAGGGAATATATCAAGGTAGCACATATAGAGACCTCCACAAGAGCAGCTCCCATCAGCTGTTGGTTGTGGCTGGCTGGGCAAGATGAAAACCCTCTATTATTGATCTCCTTCAACAGAGCTGGCAGCGACGGTTATGCTTTTCCTGCAGATTAAAAGTCACACTATTGTGGAGCTCACTATCTGCTGACAGCAGCACAGTCAAAGGCAGCTCCTGAAATGTACAGGTGCCACTTATTTTCCTTTAGCTGGGAGGTAGAAGAGCTCTGAGGAGAAAGAGGGGGAGAGGAAGGGTAGGAAAAGAGAGCAACTGCTGTGGAATAAAGTAGTGATGATGGGATTGAAAATTGGCAGATGAAACACGATAGAAAATTAAGTGAAGTAGACAGACATTTGTGGGGGGGAAAAAGGTTGAAGAAGGAGAGAGGAATGGCTGGCTGAAGGAACAGTAGATAAGAAAGTTGCGGTAGGGAGGAGAGGTTTGTTTCAAGTTGCAGTGCATTGGCTGCGTTTTTAGCAAGGGGTCTGTCAAGCAAGCCATGCCTAACACAAGATGCAACACACACACAGGAAAACAAACAGAGCAGCAGGTGAGCCCACAAAAACAAAGATGGCAGGTAGCAGACATTATGGAGAAGTTTGCTTTTGGCTGTGTTGTGCACACACACAGACAGATGGAAAAACACACCCTGCTCACCTCCATGCACACACTGACTGAAGATTTTCTTACACACCATGCTTCTATATGTGTGTGTGTGCGCACACACCTGCATACCTGTCCTCTGAAGTACAGCGGACAGGACACGGGCTTTTAGAAAGCTGTCATTCATTATTCAGTGAACACAGATTCCAGTGTCTTGCACCATTTCATTGTGTGTTGTGTGTATGACATGCATGAATAAAGCTATTTGTTGTGATAATTCTATTTTTCACAGTTATTCTCAGTTTGATTGTGCTGCATAGCAGTAGGGCAGTTAAAAGTACACTGTACAATCAAAAATTAAAAGCATTAGCTAGACATCTGGGTGTGTAGAAGTACAATGAAATACATAATTATTGACTGTACATTATTAGAGCTGACTGTATCATATTACTCTTATGTATACAACAATCTGCTGACGACTTTGCTGCTACTAATCCCACTGCTATGACACTTTGCTTGAGACAGTATTGCACTTCACACATCAGTTGATGTACAACAGTTCTGGCTCCCGTATGTGTTTTCCCTCTGAGGGATCAATAAAAGATCATCTTATGTCTGGTGCTCTGGTAGCTCGAGACGTCGTTTGTCATTTAATTGTTGATCTCACTATATTCACATGGATCTAGGTGTTCTTCTGTGTAAACATGTCAATGTGTGTGCTTCAGTTGTTTGTATTTGGCTATGCCTGACCACTGAAAGTGTGATGAGTGGAGTGTGAAGAGAATCAGCACACAACATTTGCTTCAAGGCTGACTGACCGAAAGGTTGACAATAATTGGCCCTGTGTTCACAATAAGTGAACAGAAATACAAGAAGGGAAAGCCACAGGGTGTCACCTTTTACATGTCTCGAGTGCTTTATTAGTGTAATTTATGAAGAAAATATATGTTTGTGCCAACAGCACCAATGTGGTGATGAACTACTCCGAAATCGAGTCCAAAGTGAGAGAGGCTACCAATGATGACCCCTGGGGACCCTCCGGACAACTGATGGGGGAAATAGCCAAGTAAGCGCAACACACCCGGTTTCTGTATGTGCAAGTTAACACATGCACATCATCACTAAGGCAGCTGAAAGACTGTATTAGGTCATAACACACACATTAACATTGTGTTCAAGGTCTTTATTAAGGATAAATACGATTTCTGTTAGAATGTAAGGCTAATTCTCCACAGGCTCTGTTCACTTGGCCTGATCCTGCTTTGGTTACTTGCATAGGGTTTCCCAGCGCTATAATATTTTTCATTGTGTGTGTGTGTGTGTAGATCTACCTTTATGTATGAGCAGTTCCCAGAGGTGATGAACATGCTGTGGACCAGGATGCTGAAAGACAACAAGAAGAACTGGAGACGAGTCTACAAGGTATGGTTACACTCTGGTGGGTTGTTTCCCAGCGGTGACTGTGTTGTATTTGTGTTGTGCTGTGCAGCTCAGTTCTCTATTGTTTTCTCAGGATTCATTAAAGCTTCTTTGTGATTGCACGTGAGGTGCAGTGATTTCAGAAGGAGCAGTGTTTCTGTTTGATTCACTGCTGTACTGAAGCGGTTTCTTGTTCCTTCCTTAATCCTTCCTGAATCTTGTGTACAGTGGGGCCAAAAAGTATTTAGTCAGCCAATGATTGTGCAAGTTGTCCTACTGAAAAAGATGAGAGAGGTCTGTCATTTTCATCATAGGTACACTTCAACTATGAGAGACAAAATGAGGAAAAAAAATCCAGGATATCACATTGTAGGATTTTTAAAGAATTTATTTGTAAATTATGGTGGAAAATAAGTATTTGGTCACCCACAAACAAGCAAGATTTCTGGCTCTCACAGACCTGTAACTTCTTCTTTAAGAAGCTCTTCTGTCCTCCACTCGTTACCTGGATTAACGGCACCTGTTTGAACTCGTTATCTATATAAAAGATACCTGTCCACAGCTTTAAACAGTCAGACTCCAAACTCAACCATGGCAAAGACCAAAGAGCTGTCAAAGGACACCAGGAAGAAAATTGTAGACCTGCACCAGGCTGGGAAGAGTGAATCTACAATAGGCAAGCAGGTTGGTGTGAATAAATCAACTGTGGGAGCAATTGTAAGAAAATGGAAGACATACAAGACCATTGATAATCTCCCTCGAGCTGGGGCTCCACGCAAGATCTCATCCTGTGGGGTCAAAATGATCATGAGAACGGTGAGCAAAAATCCCAGAACTACACGGAGGGACCTGATGAATGACCTGCAGAGAGCTGGGACCAAAGTAACAAAGGCTACCATCAGTAACACACTACGCCAAGAGGGACTCAAATCCTGCAGTGCCAGGCGTGTCCCCCTGCTTAAGCCAGTACATGTCCAGGCCCGTCTGAAGTTTGCCAGAGAGCATATGGATGATCCAGAAGAGGATTGGAAGAATATCATGTGGTCAGATGAAACCAAAATAGAACTTTTTGGTAAAAACTCAACTTATTGTGTTTGGAGGAAGAAGAATGCAGAGTTGCATCCCAAGAACACCACACCTACTGTGAAGCATGAGGGAGGAAACCTCATGCTTTTGGGCTGTTTTTCTGCAAAGGGGACAGGAAAACCGATCCGTGTTAAGGGAAAAATTAACAGGGCCATATATCGTGAGATTTTAAGCCAAAACCTCCTTCAATCAGTGAAAGCCTTGAAGATGGAACGTGGCTGGGTCTTCCAGCATGACAATGATCCCAAACACACCATTCGGGCAACGAAGGAGTGGCTCCGTAAGAAGCATCTCAAGGTCCTGGAGTGGCCTAGCCATTCTCCAGACCTCAACCCCATAGAAGATCTGTGGAGGGAGTTGAAAGTCCGTGTTGCCCAGCGACAGCCCCAAAACATCACTGCTCTAGAGATCTGCATAGAGGAATGGGCCAAAATACCAGCTACAGTGTGTGCAAACCTGGGGAAGACTTACAGGAAACGTTTGACCTCTGTCATTGCCAACAAAGGTTATGTTGCAAAGTATTGAGTTGAACTTCTGTTATTGACTAAATACTTATTTTCCACCATAATTTACAAATAAATTCTTTAAAAATCCTACAATGTGATTTCCTGGATTTTCCTTTTTTTTTTACTCCTTTTGTCTCTTAGTTTAAGTGTACCTATGATGTAAATTACAGACCTCATCTTTCTAAGTAGGAGAACTTGCACAATCAGTGGCTGACTAAATACTTTTTGGCCCCACTGTGTATATAGTGCAAATATCAGAGCACTACATCTCGACTACATTCTTGTATCCTGCACACAGACTCATAAGACTGATTTGCAAAGGTTATAAATTATGCAAGAGCCTAGGAAGAATGAGTTTGGATTTTTTTTTTTTAAAGAGCAGTTCGGCAGAGTTTACGAGAGGGGACATGAAAAATAAATTTCCCTTTTGAGAGTTGAGGAAAGATGAACTGACTAAGTATGGCTTTTTGGAAATATTTTTCACTGAGCCCCCACCCCCCCCTTTTTCACTCCCTTGTCATGTCTCTTATTTTGTCTCTTTATCTTTATTTTACTCTGCAAGGCTTTACTACTGCTGGCCTATCTGATCAGAAATGGGTCTGAAAGAGTCGTCACCAGTGCCAGAGAACACATCTACGACCTGCGATCTCTAGAAAACTACCACTTCATTGGTGAGTCTCTAAATACAAATAAGCTCCCTCTATTTTCCATGTTGATTGAACTTGTTCGTCTTATTCTTCTTTATTTTGATGTATATTTGAGATAGCATCTAATTTGTACACAAGATATCAGAAAGATCAGAGTGTCCAAAATGGAAAGGGTTAATTCTGTGTGTGTTTGTTTGTGTTGTGCTTGTGTGCATGTGTCTGTCCAGATGAGAATGGAAAGGATCAGGGCATCAATGTGCGTCAGAAGGTGAAGGAGATGGTGGAGTTCGTCCAGGACGATGACAGACTGAGAGAGGAGAGGAAGAAAGCCAAGAAGAACAAAGATAAATACATTGGAGTTTCTTCTGACAGTATGGGAGGTGGAGGAGGAGGAGGAAGCATTAAGAACAGTAAGTAATTCACTGCATCTCCTTTGACAGCTTGAGTCACGTGGATTAAAATGACATAACTTATAACTTAAATTGATAAATGATTTAAAGGATTAATTATTCATTAAAATGTTCAGGGATTGATTAATTATCCAAACAATCATGGATTAGATTTTTGCCAAATGATTTATCATTTGAGCATTAGAGTTGACCTATTTATAATTTATTTATAAAACATAAATACATTTTAAAGTAGTTATGCTATTATCAAGTCCTTTGTTGATAAGATGATATTAGTTAATGCTGAAACCACTAGTAGATTAATCGTTTAGTCAATCGATACAAATATGTTGTTTTTTATTTTTTTATAAACGACATATGTTTTTATATATGTATAATAGATCACAACATTGTACAACTGAAAGTGAGGTTTATACCACTAGTATGTCCATTGGTTTACAAAGTCTCTTTTTCTCTCTCTGTTCTTTTCTGTCTTCTTCTTCCAGCTAATGAGCTGGATCGGAATAAGTGGGATGAGGACTGGGATAAGAGCAAAGGAGCTTTCCCCTTTAGCGAGAAGCTCGGAGAGATCAGCGACAAGATAGGCAGCACCATCGACGACACAATCAACAAGTTCAGAAAGAAGGAACCAGACGACTCACCCGACAGACTCAGGTAGACATACATTTACATTTACTCATTTGGCAGATGCTTTTATCCAAAGCAACTTACATTTGAGGAGTTCTATTAGTGTGTACGGCATCAATGGGGTAAAAACCTAGGGAAGAAGTAAGAGTTAACCAAATAGTGCAATGACTACAAGAAAATTGTAAGGAGATAGGAGAATAAGAACACAGGAAGTGCATGATAGAGGATAGAGGTTAGGGGTCAAAGGTGTTTAAGAGGACTGTTCTTGGAAGAGATGAGCTCCTTGAAGTTAGAGAGGGACGCCCTTGCTCTGATGGCATGTGGTAGCTCATTCTACCATCGTGGTGTCACAGATGAGAACAGCCGGGACCGAGATCGCTTTGTATGTGGGGATGGCAGACCAAGATGGCATTTGTTGGAGGAACACAAGCTCAGAGAGAGACAGGAAAGGCAGGGGAGAGAGACGGGATGACATGCAGCAAAGGTCTTGATATGTGGTGCGTGCTCTACCAGGTGAGCTACAGGGGCATCCACACATTATATGTGTTTATAAAACATCTGAACGAATGCTTATTTTAAAATGGTTTGAGGGTGTAAACTAAAGTTATTACATGCTTTCTTGGTTGTGCATTGTGGTGTTGTTATTGCAGTAGCTCATTGGTTCCTTTTTTTGATAGCTACCTTTTTAAACTCAGAATCAAAATGCAAAGCACCCCCCACTCGTTGCACATCAGAAGGTTTTTGGCCTTGCTGTCATGTGTTTAGCATCTTTAATAAACCATTGTGTCTTGGATTATCCGTTACAAAACAAAGGACCGTGACATACAATAATTGCAAAGCAACAAAACGGTGAATAGTAAAATCTTCTGAGTGCAGCCTCTCAAACTTTCTTTGTCTGATTGCTATAGTGACAACGAGGAGGACAGAGCATCGAGAAACGGAAGGCAGGAAACCCTTGAGTTCAAAGATGAGGAAGAAACTGTCACGACGAAGAGCATCCAGATCACACAAGCAACAGAAACCACAACCACCACCACACGGAAACGCAGTGGAGCAACAACCAGCAAGACTCTGGACCTGGGTGCTGCAGCCCACTACACTGGAGACAACAGCCCAGAGGAGAAGGTACGCACATAAACACGCGCATGTCTCCAAATGTGAGATACATTTTCAATAGTACATGTTTAATCAGTGTCTCTGTGCTTCTGTCTTTAGTCGTCAGTCAGGCAGACTTCCAGTAGCAGTCTAGCTGACCTGCTAGTTATTGACCCTTCATCCAATCAGAGTACAGGTAACTACAAACTTTTACACACACAAAGATAAGGAAGCAATGAAGGCTACGAAGGTGGTTTTAAAATTTCAGTATGTGGTGTACGAAGCGTTGCAGTCTTTGTGGGACAAAAGAGTTCTTTTGTATGAATGTGTCCATCCATCCAGGTGGCAGTTCAGACCTCATCGGTGGCTTTGCTGATTTCTCCTCTCCTGCGGCCTCTGCCAGCCTCCCAGCCTCCACTGGTAAACTTGTTCTTGCCTTTCTTAGCTCTTCCTAATCTGAAGGTACTGTCACACCTGTAGTTTGGCTTATTTGGTCAGGATCAAGGGGAAAAAATCCGCAGGGTCTTAAAAAGTCTTAAAAGGTAATAAATCAATTTTGCGAAAATTAAGGCCATTAAAAAGTCTTGATCACCATTTAACAGGGTATTAAACTTTGTAGATATTTTTGTCAATGTGAACATCCTTTTTGTCCAATGAGTTTGTATGGTAAAAGTGTGGGTGAACGTATTTATTTATATTGCATAGCCAAAATTACTAGACAGGCAGAACGTAGCGAGTTATTATTTTGTGTGACGTTAGGCGCAGGGATCTAGGATCTACGGTGCAAGCCTTTCACTCTCATACGCCCCTAAAAATAGATTTGTGCGACACAGAAAACTGATTTACGAGCACAACCGACCGCAACTTTCCACCACGCCGGATCCCCAATGTTAATTGTTTAAAACATGGTCAGACTGAGCGCTGTGGCCGCTTGAACAGCCCCGTTACTCAAAAACAAGAGCAAGATGAAGCAGGTGAAGCGGTAAGACAGCAGACAACAGGGAGAATATAAGCAGCATATTGGTTTGTCTAACGTTAGCTGGCTATTTAGCTACATCTGTGCCTTTTTATTAAAACACGTTCAACTTTTCATAAACTGAACAGATTAATCACAGCCTGGATGGAGTGGGATTGTTAAAAAAAAGTTTGATGTGCAACAGCAAACTTTCCAAATGTTGAACTAATCCTTCTGCCTAAATAGTTATGATTATTGATAGTAGCCTACTTAAAATTAAAGTTAGAGACTAACTGGAATATTTTTCTTTCACAAAGTTAATGAATAAAAAACAACCACAAAATGAAACAGTTGTAACTGGAATTAATATTATAGTAGTGGTAAGCTATATACTATACTATTATAGAATATAGATTATAATGATTATAATGAATATAATAACAACATATAATTAACATTAATATAAAACTAACAGTTTACTATTATATTAACAATGTACTTTTAATATAATGTTATAATATTATACTAATACACTCATTTGTACTAGTTCCTCCACCAGGTTGTGGATCGAGCCACTGTAGTGGAAAGATTTAGCCAGAGCTAGAGCCACGATGCCATTGTGGCAATATGTGCTGCTTAGCCTCCTCCTCCTGAGAGCAACACGTTCCCCTTGTTCTATTTTACATCTGTTTTACTAAAGTTTACACAAATCAGCTTTAGGATGCAGAGGTGGGCTGTGTGGTTTTTAGTGGCTTCTAGCAGTAAGGTTTCAGGTGGCAACCAATAGCATACGCTTTACATATTGACATAGTGACTGAAAATAAGTTACAACTATGTGAGGTAGTTAACAACTGGTCGGCGTTTGCAGGCAAGCTAACATCTAGTTTGAACCAACTAAAACACAAAATCACACTGTTTCACATGTTTTGCAGTAATGTTGCGCACATAAACATCACAGCCTGTTTAAGACGATGGATTTTCGCAGGAAATCCGACGAGTCCTTCACATAGAAAACAGTAGGCCTAAACAGGCTGTTATAGGCAACTGAGAAAGTTGGTGAATGCCTCAATTTTTAGGCGAGGTTACAACCTGGTACAACCTCACTAATTGGACAGTTTCATTCTATATCATCACCACATCACCAAGACCTGTATGGGGTAATCACATTCCGCTGACTGACAGCAAGTTAAACTGCACTTTATCGTTTCTTATGTGCATATTATTGTCCTCTCTCTCCATCATATTCTCAAAGAGCTCACAAAGAAATAACTGATTGTAAGCATTATTAGTACTATTAGACTGCAAATAGACCGTGTGTGAACAATGACGATTACAGTCACTAAAGGCCTGTCGTACTAGGGATATCACGATACCAGAAATTTAGCAGTCGATACTGATACCAGTAACATTCCTTGATTCTCGATACCACAGTAAAAAATAAAAACAACACAATAAATCCCATGTACTTCAACATAAACTCTTTCTGTAAAAACTTTGAGCATTACAAAGAACAAATAACTGCTGTGAAAGTTGTGCAAGGATGTCCAGAACAGATGAGAAGTGATTTGATGTCAGTATATTCACAAATGAGCAAGCCATTGAAATAGCAACCTTGCACTCTGCTTATTTAATTTAGTCAATTAATTGCTTAATTTTATTAACTTTTTTTACAATCTCACAGGTGTTCCACATGTTGGACCTTCGGTACCTAACAAGAGTACCGACATGTTTTTAGAACTTGGTACCGAAGTATCTGTTATGTGACATCCCTACATTGTACAGCATTATTCTGGGAGGTGTAACTGTGGGATGTCACCCTTTATAATGGTCTTAATGAACTGCCAAAGTACAGATACAAACACAGCTGACCACCATTTTAACTGCTTTTGAGTGTCAGAACGATCAGAGAAAATCTCGGCTGATATGCATTTGTGTTACCATGGTTACCAAGTGATTTTTACATAAATAAATCCATTATACAGATCTGTGAAGGAATTTTCCTAAGAAGACCTAGGTGAGTAAAAAGTCTCCACCATGGGTGCATGACTACAGCTGATTAGACAGGAATAAGTTGTTGCCTAGAGTCTTAGATGTTTACAGACAGCCTCTTCTGAGAATGTAATGCATCTGATCTCCTAATTCCAACGTGACTTAGGTAAGGTTTTGAGTTCAACATCCAATAAGATAAGACACATAGTCAGGCCAGTAGAGAATGACCTTGACTTCGTAGACATTATATGGTCGGTAAAGTAAGTATATTGTGGACCAAAAAGGGATCTTCAGATTTGGTTTGGCACAAAACTGTGTTATCACTCTGTTCTGTTGTTGCCATTTTCTCCTCAGCTGAGTTTTAATAAATACTGCAGTTAAATACATCCTAAGTTTCCTGAAATCTTCTTCATTAAGTGTTGACCAGCTCACTAGAATTTCCTTCACAAGATCATTTATAAGATTGCTTCCTGGACAGTTAACGATCAGCAGATGGTTTTAATGGTAGTTAAGAATTGGGCAGTATGCTTAAATCGCATATCTACAATCAGAATATCACCACAAACCCTACCAGAGTCCAGTACCTTCTTTTTCAAGCGGGATTGGTCTGGTTGTTTGGTCTGCACCAGGGTTCGATTGACTCTACTCACCAGCCTTCATTTTAACAAAACCAAACAGGTGTGACAGAAGTCTTCAGGGGTGAAATATACTCTCTTAGAACAAGTTCAGGTGAGGTCCACCATGACAAAAAATGTTGTATACTTCATACTTTTCTTGTGCGTTGTATTTTGTGTATTTAGATTTTTTCACTGTGGATTTTTAGGAAATGAATGTAATTTTAGGGCACAGTGAAGGAGTGAGGCAGTTCCTGTCAAACTCCAAGATGAATGTTACAATCACAACTGAACAAATCACTACTCTCTCGTGGCCAGCTGCTGCATCATCCAATGGAAATGGAGAATTTGGAGACTGGAATGCCTTCCCAGCCAATCCACCTGCTTCGTCTAGCTCTGCTCCCTCCCAGCCCATCACTGACCTGTTTGGCAGTGTCCACTCACCAACAGCGCCACCCTCTAATCCCACCCCCGTCCCACCGTCTGCCGAGCTCTTTGACCTGATGGGTGGAGTTAACCATCAGCTAACCAATCCACATACAACACTGAGCGCCTCACAGAGCATGACTTTCTCTCTGGGAGGGGCAACGCCAGGAGCATCGGTTACAATGCCCACCATGCCCGTTTCTCGCTCTCAACAGGTAGGTTTGGTACACATCACAGGAAGCCCTAGTTTATCTAAAACCTTGAGAAAATAAAAATGTTGAAAATAACGAATTGCATTGAAATTAATTCCCCAATAATCTAGAAGCTTCCAGTATGTATTAGTCTAAATTAGTAGTGGAATAAAAATGTCAAAGGTGGTGACAAACATTTAAAAATGTATGTCAGTGCACCCTTAAAGAGTTACAATCTAAAAGTGTTGAGGCTTTTAACTGCTTTCAGTTTTTAATTCTTGGTAAACCTTTTAGAATATGCCAAGAGACACTTGTATATGTATTTGATGTCAAACTATATTCTTTGTGTATTTAAGTGTAAAGTATTTGTAATTTATTTCAGAGCTTGGGAGGCATGACATCTCAGCAGCCTATAGGTCAACAGCAGAAGGTTGGCGTTGGAGGTCAAGGATCATTAGGGTCGACCTGGTCTGACCCCTCCGTTAACATCAGTCTGGACTTCCTGTCAGCGGGCCTCAACCCCACTAAGACACCGCCCACACTCAACAATATCATCCAGCAGACAGGTATCATGTTCAATTGTTTTTTGCATTTTACATGGAAAAAGAAAAAAGAACTATGCAGGGTACCTGCAGGTCTTGGTTTACATTAGTAATTATTGTTATATACAGTGGGGAGAAAAAGTATTTGATACACTGCTGATTTTGCAGGTTTTCCTACTTACAAAGCATGTAGAGGTCTGTCATTTTTATCATAGGTGCATTTCAACTGTGAGATGGAATCTAAAATAAAAATCCAGAAAAATCACATTGTATGATTTTAAAATAATTAATTTGCATTTTATTGCATGACATAAGTATTTGATAAATCAGAAAAGCAGAACTTAATATTTGGTACAGAAACCTTTGTTTGCAATTACAGAGATCATACATTTCCTGTAGTTCTTGACCAGGTTTGCACACACTGCAGCAGGGATTTTGGCCCACTCCTCCATACAGACCTTCTCAAGATCCTTCAGGTTTCGGGGCTGTCGCTGGGCAATATGGACTTTCAGCTCTCTCTAAAGATTTTCTATTGGGTTCAGGTCTGGAGACTGTCTAGGCCACTCCAGGACCTTGAGATGCTTCTTGCGGAGCCACTCCTTAGTTGCCCTGGCTGTGTTTTTCGGGTCGTTGTCATGCTGGAAGACTCAGCCACGACCCATCTTCAGTGCTCTTACTGAGGGAAGGAGGTTGTTGGCCAAGATCTCGCGATACATGGCCCCATCCATCCTCCCCTCAATACGGTGCAGTCGTCCTGTCCCCTTTGCAGAAAAGCATCCCCAAAGAATAATGTTTCCACCTACATGCTTCACAGTTAGGATGGTGTTCTTGAGGTTGTACTCATCATCCTCCTTCCTCCAAATACGATGAGTGGAGTTTAGACCATAAAGCTCTATTTTTGTCTCATCAGACCACACGACCTTCTCACAGTCCTCCTCTGGATCATCCAGATGGTCATTGGCAAACTTCAGACGGGCCTGGACATGCGCTGGCTTGAGCAGGGGGACCTTGCGTGCGCTGCAGGATTTTAATCCATGACGGTGTAGTGTGTTACTAATGGTTTTCTTTGAGACTGTGGTCCCAGCTCTCTTCAGGTCATTGACCAGGTCTTGCTGTGTAGTTCTGGGCTGATCCCTCACCTTCCTCATGATCATTGATGCCCCACGAGGTGAGATCTTGCATGGAGCCCCAGACCGTGGGAGACTGACCGTCATCTTGAACTTCTTCCATTTTCTAATGATTGCGCCAACAGTTGTTGCCTTCTCACAAAGCTTTTTATCCCTGATGTCCTTACACAGCTCTCTGGTCTTGGCCATTGTGGAGAGGTTGGAGTCTGTTTGATTGAGTGTGTGGACAGGTGTCTTTTATACAGGTAATGAGTTCAAACAGGTGCAGTTAATACAGGTAATGAGTCGAGAACAGGAGGGCTTCTTAAAGAAGAACTAACAGGTCTGTGATCAAATACTTATGTCATGCAATAGATTACATTAGACAAGATGGTGCAATTATTTTACACTTACTGATCAGTTTAGAATTGATTTTAAGGTCCTCCTCCTTATATACAGAGCCCTAATGGGCAAGAACCAAGCTACACAGTTCCCATGTTCACTTTTTACATTCAAGAACACTGCGAACACCTGCTGCTGGTTTATTTGAGGTTCCCAGAGACAGCTGCAAGTAAATCAGGGATGCAGCCCCAAAGCTATGGAACCATTACTTATAAATAGAATATTAAAGAAATGTAGTTGGTGTTTTATTATTGTTTTACATGAATTATGGCATTCAATCCCTGTTTTTATATTCACTTTGAGCTGTATTTCTTCTATGAAATGTGCTATACAAATAATGTTTATTATTATTATTTAATAAAAATAAATAAGTTGTTATAACCCCAGTGGTAAAACAGAGTATATTAACTCCTCCCTGCCCATATGTGTCTGTGCAGGCGTGCCTCCCGTCAACTTGTTGGCCCAGAACTTTGGAGGAATGAACCTCAGCTCCCCACCCCACGTGACACCTATTAGACCACCAGCCATTCCCATGATGGCAGGCAATGCCATGGCGATGGGTATGCCCCCTTCAATGACCACGGGTACCATGGGGATGGGGGGGATTCCAGTAAACCAAGGCATGATGGGAATGAACATGAGCATGAATATGGGCATGGCCGCTCCGGTGATGATGAGTGGAATGGCTGGCATGGGAGTGCCAGGAGTAGGGATGGGCCTTGCACACTCCATCACCCCGGCCGTGGTTCCACCCAAACAAGATGCCTTCGCTAACTTTGGCAGTTTTGGGAAATGAAGGAGTGCAAATGTGTGTGTGCGTGTGTGGGTGCGAGTGTGAGTGTGCATGTCTGACATTATGGGAGAGAACTACAGAAGGACTGCTGTACTTGAAGACTTCCTTGCATGTTTGTGTTTGTTTTCTTTGGTGAGCTGGCACCAGTGATCGTTCGCCACAATCTTGGAGGTCGGAGAGAGTGCCCGCCAGCGGCCTATTGGTAATCTGATGTGTGAAATTACGTCACAGAGGACACCTGAAGAGCAGGGAAGGTGTAAACCCACAGCCTGTAGTCGTTCCTCTCCTGTGGGGGAAGGAACCTGTTTTCTATATGAACTACAGTATCGCCCCCTCAATTGTAAAGAAAAATCACTGCAAAAAGTTTTTCTCTGTGACTGCACAAAGAATTCAATCAGTAGGGTTGACACAAATGAAAATGGCATTGCTGTCTCAATTCTGCATTGTAGCCTGAGATATCATGTTTTATATCATTTCAACCATCAGTCATAAAATTTAAGCCAATACATTATTGCCAGGGGCTGACTCTATTACTTTCTCTCACTGCTTGTGCAAATAATATAGAATAACAGTCACAGTATCTGGAGTATGCTGAGTCCATCCCCTCCTCCTCCAGCAGAGGGCAGGGTGGGTGTATGTGTTGAGATAACGGTGTACTTAACTCTTGAGCCATATTAGGGTGGATGAATTGCATATTACATCCTCTTTGTCTCCCATCTCCTCCTTTTATTAGGGCGGTACCAGTTCACAGTAACTCATTCAGTCAGTATTTCATTCACTGATATTTATCTTAGACATGCTTTTGTAGGACACTTGACTTCATATAAGCATTGCTTTCTGACCCAAATAGATCTGTTATGTTCTGGACAGAGGTAAAGACTATTGTGTTTTATAGTATTATATATATTATTTTCCTACTGACTTTGGGAGAAGAGGGTAAATGATGGTCACCATCTACAAGAACACCGTCCTCTAAATTTCTGTCATGTTCAAAGCAGTTTTGTGGGACAACCCAGCAATGTACCTTTAATTCCAAGTATTTTTGCCAGCAAACATTTTTCACCCTGCGGCTCACTTTGTCTCTTGGTGCAAGGGTCTCATCTGTGCATCTCTCAAACCTTGTATTAATAACCACTTCTTACATTTGACATGGATTAGATAAATTGGAGGAATGTTTTCATTAGCTGAGTTTCAATACATTATTTCTATGGCTAGATGAGACAAATCTAAAGGGTTTTCGGGGTCTCGAAGAGTGTGTGTGTGTGTGTGTGTGTGTGTGTGTGTAGTTTTCTGTTTGATGTGCAAACACAGCTAAGCAGAGCCTCTTCTCATTTTTTGAGACACTGCACTCCAAATGACCAAATCTTTATTTTGTTACTCTCAGAAGGATTATTTCATAGCTATTAGTTTAATATTTTATTTTAATTAGTTGTAAGCTTGTGTTCATATGGGTGAGCTACTAATACCATAATTTAGTTGACACAAATCATGTTTTTGTTTCTTTATTTCAGTACAGCTTGTTTCATTTGGTTGTACTTTTTCTGTACTTCATTTGACATTAAATTAAATTATAACATTAAAGATTCAGTTTCTTCCTTTTTTCTAAGTGTAAGCTAGTTTGTGTTTATGGTCTTACTGCATGATATTTATTTTACATTTGATCCTAAACACTGGGGTCATGTCCTGTATTTGTTCTGGGAATTTGGAGGTTCTGGCAACTTTAGACAAGGTTATATTTTGTCATTAAAAACTTGGTGGATCACTTACAGGCTGATTCCAGTAATTTTTTTAGACTCAGTTAAAGTTGAGTTAAAGACAACCTTTAGACAGCCAAATAAATTAAGGAAAGTATTGTTTCCCCCTCCACAGGTTTATTCCTGGCAATGCACAGAAGGAAAACATATTTTGTTTGAAAATAAAATGTATACAGACAATATTAAAGTTAACAGAATTAATAAAAAAAATAAACTATTTTTTGATGTGTGGTAAAAATTTACTGAGACAGAAGAGGCTTGCCCTCAGCATTTCTAAAATCCTGGCTACAGCCCTGTACATATTCTGTCAGCTACGTGGCTAACAGCTACATAGCTAGCTGGACCGTTCGGGCCTGTGGAACACCGTTAACGCCTTTTAACGTTCAAGAACCGTTACTCTGTTCTTTTGTACGTTTTTAATTAATCACAATTCAGATGAAACATTAAAACCAACCCCAAAACTACAGCGACAGTCGTGACAATGGACCAGCACTTTCAAAAAAGAAAACGAGAAACGGGTCAGGACCCAGCGACGCCCTCTCAGTTCCTCCAGACCAGAGAGGGGGATTACATTCAGCCCCTGGACGGGACCGGTAATAAGTTTAAGACATGGGGAAACTACATGGCATCTGTTGGAGCAAGTTGTCAATTTACAGACGGAAAGCTAACTCTACCACCCATATCGACCCTTTTTAACAAAGTACCACTTTACCAAGGTGTGCCGGCGGAAGTGAGAGGCTGCAATGGTGGCGGGGTACGGTCAGAAACTGTCACTTCAGGTCCATGCCCACCAGCAGCAGCAGGTTACCAGGTCAGGGTAGTGGACCTGCAGCCACCTGGTGAACAAATTGTCCCGCTCCAGGTCACTGACAGGCTGGATCTGCCACAAGCCACCGCAGCTAGAGAACCTATGAGCCCAGGTCCAGTCCACCTGACCCCAAGATCAACCAGAGTCGGAGGTGATGGCCCAGCCACCAGTTTTACCATCCCGCCAACGGATGACGGTACAGTATCCCCATAGAGCCTGTGTGTGACTGTGACAGGTGTTGGATGTTTAGTAAGGAAGCAGAAAAATTCAATGTTTGGAATGACAAAAACAACATTTTTTTTATATATATATATATATATATACATATATATATATATATATATATATATATATATATATATATATATATATATATATATATATATATATATATATATATATATATATATACATACTATATATATACACACACACACACACACACACACATACATACATATATACAGTGGGTACGGAAAGTATTCAGACCCCTTTAAATTTTTCACTTTGTTTCATTGCAGCCATTTTCCAAAAATCAAAAAAGTTCATTTTATTTCTCAGTAATGTACACTCAGCACCCCATCTTGACAGAAAAAAAACAGAAATGTAGAAATTTTTGCAAATTTATTAAAAAAGAAAAACTGAAATATCACATGGTCATAAGTATTCAGACCCTTTGCTCAGTATTTAGTAGAAGCACCTTTTGATCCAATACAGCCATGAGTCGTTTTGGGAAAGATGCAACAAGTTTTTCACATCTGGATTTGGGTATCCTCTGCCATTCCTCCTTGCAGATCCTCTCCAGTTCTGTCAGGTTGGATGGTAAACGTTGGTGGACAGCCATTTTCAGGTCTCTCCAGAGATGCTCAATTGGGTTTAAGTCAGGGCTCTGGCTGGGCCATTCAAGAACAGCCACGGAGTTGTTGTGAAGCCACTCCTTCGTTATTTTAGCGGTGTACTTAGGGTCATTGTCTTGTTGGAAGGTAAACCTTCGGCCCAGTCTGAGGTCCAGAGCACTCTGGAAAAGGTTTTCGTCCAGGATATCCCTGTACTTGGCCGCATTCATCTTTCCCTCGATTGCAACCGGTCGTCCTGTCCCTGCAGCTGAAAAACACCCCCACAGCATGATGCTGCCACCACCATGCTTCACTGTTGAGACTGTATTGGACAGGTGATGAGCAGTGCCTGGTTTTCTCCACACATACCGCTTAGAATTAAGGCCAAAAAGTTCTATCTTGGTCTCATCAGACCAGAGGATCTTATTTATCACCATCTTGGAGTCCTTCAGGTGTTTTTTAGCAAACTCCATGCGGGCTTTCATGTGTCTTGCACTGAGGAGAGGCTTCCGTCGGGCCACTCTGCCATAAAGCCCCGACTGGTGGATTGCTGCAGTGATGGTTGACTTACTACAACTTTCTCCCATCTCCCGACTGCATCTCTGGAGCTCAGCCACAGTGACCTTTGGGTTCTTCTTTACCTCTCTCACCAAGGCTCTTCTCCCCCGATAGCTCAGTTTGGCCAGACGGCCAGCTCTAGGAAGGGTTCTGGTCGTCCCAAACGTCTTCCATTTGAGGATTATGGAGGCCACTGTGCTCTTAGGAACCTTAAGTGCAGCAGAAATTTTTTTGTAACCTTGGCCAGATCTGTGCCTTGCCACAATTCTGTCTCTGAGCTCTTCAGGCAGTTCCTTTGACCTCATGATTCTCATTTGCTCTGACATGCACTGTGAGCTGTAAGGTCTTATATAGACAGGTGTGTGGCTTTCCTAATCAAGTCCAATCAGTATAATCAAACACAGCTGGACTCAAATGAAGGCGTAGAACCATCTCAAGGATGATCAGAAGAAATAGACAGCACCTGAGTTAAATATGAGTGTCACGGCAAAGGGTCTGAATACTTATGACCATGTGATATTTCAGTTTTTCTTTTTTAATAAATTTGCAAAAATTTCTGAGTGTACATTACTGAGAAATAAAATGAACTTTTTTGATTTTTGTAAAATGGCTGCAATGAAACAAAGAGTGAAAAATTTAAAGGGGTCTGAATACTTTCCGTACCCACTGTATATATAACAGCATTATATATAATATTCTTGGAAAATGTTAATTATGAAACACTTGTAACTATATGAGACTGTCAAAACTTAAATTACAAGTGACATTTTGAGCTTCAACCATGTCTTTTTGAAGTAAGTAAAAATGAGATACTAATTCCAAATGGTGACTTCTTTGACTTGGTATATCATAAGCTTGACATCCAAGTGTCTATCAGAATTTTATCAAAATGGAAAATACTGACAGACACATACTAGACAATATTTAGGGGCTTTTTTTTTCATTAGGTGTTTTTAGTCTATCCTATGTATTTTTTCTGGATATTGTGTTTGTTTATCTTACAGATTTCAAAGGCAGTCGATCTCAAAATTATTAACATAATATTTTGGGAGGTTTTTTACCCTAAAACCGCCAACGAAGTAATCAGTCCCCAAATGTCTCCCTCAGATATGAGGCAGATGCTGTCTGGCCAAGACAAGAATGGATACATTAAACGGCCGATGAATGCCTTTATGGTGTGGTCTCACATCCACCGATATGCCCTGCGTAAAGCCTGCCCCGGAGCCAACATGATAGACACTAGTATCCAACTGGGCTGTGAGTGGTCCAAGCTCAGTGAGGAACAGAAGAGGCCCTATTATGAAGTGGCTCACAAACTGAAACACATGCATAAGCAGCAATTCCCTGGTAAGGACAATTTAGCAGCTGATTTGATGACAATTTACTGCAAGGTTACTGCCTTGTCTCCAGTGCAGTTATACAGTAGCATATACAGTATTTTCCGTTTGAAATTTGTTCTAGTGTGGGTTAGGAACCTCTGTCTTTCACTTACTCTGGCTTTATTCTTGACAGATTATGAGTTTCACCCAGAGAGGAAGAGAGGTAGAAAGTATTTTGCCTCAGGGCAGGGAGCAGGACAGGACCCTGGCGTTTCTGTGTTTGTCTCACAGGCCATGCCTCCAGCTCAGTCCAAGTGGCTGGCCCCCAGCATGTACACGTGTCCCGTCATGATGCCCTGCACAGTGGGCTACTATCCCTACCCATCTTGTAGCCCATATCATCCAGTGAGCTGCTACTACAGGTACCAGATCCACCATTCAAGGTTAGGCATAATCAGTGAAATATTTCTGCTAGCCAATGTGTTAGAGCTCGTTTGTTTCCTTCAATACCTTCTAGACGGCCCATGTAATTAAGTGATTTGAACAACTGATAAAATACAAAACAAGCAAAACACACTTTATTTTAGATTTCTTTTCAACAACAGCAAGCGGAGAATGATTTGGTTAGCCAGGTTTTTACATTTGAAAGACTTTTACACTGACTGACTTTTTGGTGCCATAATTCACAGAATTAACAGTTCAATGACATTTGCTTTGACACATTCATTGGAGCATTTTATAATTTACTTGCTGTGTGCTTATATCAGGGTTTTATGCAGATACCAAAATGCCAGCAGCTCCATGGAGGAAGTGAGGAATTACCACAGAACTCACCCGCAGGGGGACGAGACCACTCTGCTCACTCTGGCCAGGGAAATCATGCAGCAGGAGCCTCATCCAGTCCTTATCGGCTCTACCACGACATCAGAGAGCCTTGAGCAGCCTGACGTTGGCACCAGTCAGCAGCTACTGGCCAACAACAAGGTGGAATTTAAATGTGAGGATGATGTTGATGTTGTTGGACTGCTCTAGGAGATATTATATATATATATATATATATATATATATATATTTGGTTTTGTTATGAAATAAAGAAACTCTTCTGTGTCTGTACCTGTTGGCCTGCTTTTATTATTTGTACTGTATATTCTAAATGCCACAATAAAATGTCCTGTCTTGATTTTGGATTGCATAAAATGAAGTGTTCTCAAAATTATACAGCGGACACCCAAATCAAATTATATGTGTTGACCTGATTGTCAGTTTTTCATCATATTCAGATCTTAAACATGTTCATAGTTTCCTC